GACTGCTCAAGAAGTAAATCTCTTGCAGCATCTCTTGGTGTCTTTCTACCAGAACTCCACTGAGGTGTCTGCACTTATGCCATTCTGTTATAGTAAGGGAGCAGCTCTGCAGCACACAAAAAGACAAACAAACCAGCTGCCTGTCCTGGAAGACATCTTCATCTCCCGCTGTTAGAAAAAAGATTTGTTGTCAACTTCAGGACAACATCGATTAGAACATGCACCAGACGATTCACCAACAGTCTTTACCTTAAAGTCACTACCATCATGAACAGTGAACTGAAAGCACACCTCATATACTAAACATGCAGTAATTACAGGAATAAATCAAAATATGCATTTTGGTGGGCTTGTGTTGTTTTCCATGTTTAATGTGCGTGAATGAAAGAAATATATTTATATTATAACATATTTTTATATTCATTGTTAAGTGCAACCTAATTCCATTTTAGATTTCTTTACAATCATAATAAAGAAAAAAAGTTGACCACTGTGCTGCCCTGCATTTACCGAGTATAGTGTGCTATTGTGCTGCATGTATTAACTGTCTATGAGTTCCAATACATGCTGATTTTCAATCCTCTGCTCCGTTTCCAAATCCTACACCCTGTGCAATGTTTGGAGCTTGTCTTGAAGTCAAAAAATGAACAATAAGCACAACTGGAGACAAATAACTGTATGTTTCTCTTAACATGTTTGAGTCTAAGAAAAGATTTTGACAGTTGGGAGTTTTTGCGATTCTAAAACTACGACCAGTGTCTGACATTAAGTGAAAAAAACTGTTAGCTATGTAGCCTGATTAGGAGAGCTGTGGCACTGGTACTTTCAGCTGTAGAATGTCAGGATGTTCTATTTTAAAAGACTGAAGTAACTTGAGACACTGAGAAGTCTGTTGGATGGCCAAACATAACTCCAAGCAGCTACTTTGCAATGAGGCATAAGCCTCCAGAGTCCGACTGAAAACACCAGACTAGACTGGTTTCTGTAAGATCTATGAATAACTGTATACATAACTATAAAACTGTTATGATTTCTGTCATTTAGGTCTATTGAGCCAGTCTTTCATTATATTCCTTTCATAATACCACCTACATCCGCTTTACAGAAAAAACTATCATAATCTAGAAGCAGAAGGCCTTCTGAAATATCAAAGTGCCATATAAGAATTACAAATTGAGCTGACAAATTATACTGATTTGATTTCAGTTGCATATGTAGGCGATTTATCACCAATGCCCATTCAAGCAATAAAATTAAGCAACAACATTAATGGATTTCCAACTCTCGTTTTGTGGCATGATGGTGTCAGAAGTGGACACAAAAATCAAGCTTTTTAATTTTATCAGTTTTAACACACAGCTTTAGCATTAAACAGCAACACCAAGATTGCAGCAAGCACTTAATCAATTTAATCTTTCTGTGCAGCTGTGATGATTACACACACATGCATTATATATGCACAATATATGTACATATGTAGATATATACTAATTACATCAAATATATCAAGCAACATGTATGGAATTATGTAGCAAAAAAAGAAAAGATAAATAACTCGAAATATGTTTTAGAATTTAGATTCAAGAAAGAAGCCACCCAGCTGCAAACCCTCGGCCTTCTCTCAGCTTCATGATGTCGTCACCTGAAATGGTTTCGCCTCACAGGTGAGCCTGTCAGGGTTCATTGGTGGTGTTGGGACCATCAGTCGTGTTGTGCAGAAGTCAGGTTGGTGCACAGCTGACAGCCCTATTTGACAGCTGTTAGAGTTCATATTATGGCAAGAACCAATCAGCTAAGTAAAGGCCATATCGCGCCATCGACCCCTCTATATGGCAGCCTCGCTTCTGTCTGTCTGCCCCAGGGCAGCTGTGGCTACAACCATAGCTTGCCTCCACCAGTGTGTGAATGTGAGAGTGAATGAATAGTGGTATTGAAAAGCGCTATATAAATCCAATCCATTATTATTAATATTATTAAAGAGAAACAACAGCCCATCATTACTGTAAGAACTGAAGGTCAGTCAGTCCAGAAAACTGCTAAAACTTTGAATGTGTCCCCAAGTGCAGTCAGAAAAACCATCAACACTACGATGAAACTGTCTGACATGAGGACGCCCCAGGAAAGGAAGACCAGGAGTCCCTCTGCTGCTGAGGATACAATCATCCGAGTCACCAGCCTCAGAAATCACAAGTTAACAGCAGCTCAGATTAGAGCCCAGATAGATGTCACACAGAGCTCCAGTAGCAGACACATCTCTACATGTTCAGAGCAGACTGTGGGAATCAGGCCTTTATGGTCAAATAGCTGCTGAGAAACCACGACTAAGGAAAAGCAACAAGCAGAGATTTGTTTGGGCCAAGAAACACAAGATGAGTCCAAATTGGAGAACTTTGGTTCCACCCGCCGTGTCTTTGTGAACGATGGTCTCTACATGCATGGTTCCCACCATGAAGCATGGAGTTGATGGTTTGCTGGTGTGGGGGGCTTTACTGGTGACACTGTTGGGGATTTATTTAAAACTGAAGGCACACTGACCCAGCATGGCTACCACAGCATCCTGCAGCAACATGCCATCCCATCATGTATTGTTCAACAGGACAATGACCCCAAACACACCTGCAGGCTGTGTGAGGGCTGTTTGACCAAGAAGGAGAGTGATGGAGTGCTGCACCAGATGGTCTGGCCTCCACAGTCACCTGACATAAACCCAGTGGAGATGGTTTGGGATGAGATGGAGCGCAGAGTGAAGGCAAAGGACCAACAAGTGCTCAGCACCTCTGAACTCCTTCAAGACTGTTGGAAACTATTTGAGGTGACATGAAGCTCATGGAGAGAACGCCAAGAGTGAGCAAAGCAGGAATCAAAGCAAAGGGCGGCTGTTAGGAAGGATCTAACATATAAAACATGTTTTGAGTTGTTTCACACTTTTATTTACTACATAATTTAAGTGAGAATCTACAATGTAAATAGTCATGAAACAGAAGCCAAGCCATGTATTTAGGCTGGTAGACTAAATAATGCAAGGGTGACTAGAAACTAGAAACTAGAAACTAGGGCTGGGTATCGTCACTGATTTCTTGAATCGATTCGATTCAATTCGGGGAAATTTTGCCTCAGACAGTCAGAAATAGTATAATTCAGATCACGTATCAGTACATTTCCATATTTTTATATCTATAAAAAGAAAACTGACACTTGCGAGACTTTACCAAAGGTGTGAGCATCACAGCAGAGGCCTTTGTGTCAAAGTAACTGAGAATAAAACATAGAAAAACATGAAGGTGATTTTCCTGTTCTGGGATTTTATAAAAATATTCAGCAGTACATCAAAAATGAAAGAAAACCATTAATCAACATATGAACGTTACCTGATGCTGCTGAAGTGAAGCAAAGTTACAGAGGTTTTATTAGAGACACAGCTGAGAGTTTTTCAATTTTAAAAAGTTTAAATTTGTTCAGTGTTGAACAGCAGAAATGAGGCTTCTTTGTAAGTAAGTAAGTAAAAGGAAAAAAAACCAGCGGCCGACAGCCTGTAAACTACGGTAGACTGGTGCGTAGTAAGCAAGCGAATAATGCAGAAAACAGATTTTTAGAGAGCTGTGCATGAAGTAAAATAAATTTATATTAAAAAAATCAATTCAGGATTTTAATGAATCGTTATCCAAGCTAGAAGTGATTTTAATTGATAAATCGATAATCAAAACCCACCCCTACTATATGTGTTCATTCACAGTTTTGAAGCCTTCAGTGAGAATCTACAATGTAAATATACATGAAAGTAAAAAAAAACATTAAATGAGAAGGTGTGGTATAGGGATAATTTTCTTCAGATAAGCAGAAGAAAATGGCAGGATGATTTATTGCGTTGTCATGGATTTTCAAACATCGTCCATCATTCATAATGCATGGCACACTTTTCCGTCACAATTTATGAGTTTTTCAGTGGTTAATTTGTCATATTTTAGTAATACGTGAACATCTTCTGTAGTAACATGTTTTCATATTTAACATCTGTTTGTTTTAAGTGTTTTTCTTCTTCATCGTCTGGAGTATAACATGTAACCTAAGGAGCTTGGAAAGAAAAGCGTCTGGACTTCTCTAAGTTGCTTGAAGACGTTTCACTTCTCATCCGAGAAGCTTCTTCAGATCTAGGGTCAAATGGTGGAGAGTCCCAGATTTAAGCCCTGTGGGAGGGACAATGGACCCCCTAATGTCTTCAAGCAATTTAAAGAAGTCCAGAAGTCTCTCCAAGCTCCTTAGACTACGATGACCTGGATGACTGAGAACCTTCACAGAAATATAACATGTAACGTTGATAAGGCACAGCATGATTCATTATTGAAGAACGTGATCAGTGATTTAAAACGGCTTTGTTATCAGTTTTTGACATATTCTATTAAACAGCTTTCACATTTAACTCACTGAGTGTTCCTTAGTTTTACACTGGTAGGTTAGTCAACAAAGAAATTAGTGGCTAGGAACATCACTAGTAAGCACAAGCATTTTAGTTGATGGTGACAAAAACATTATGTGTGACCTGATGTCCCCTCGCAATCCTTTAATCACCCTTTGATTTGGGTTAGAATGAAACAACTGCCACCATTTAAAATCCCCATTTTCAGAGCAGCCGCAAAACATCCATGATGGGCTCAGGGACACATGGGCCACTTCTGTTCTACATGCATGTGAGTAGTTCTATCACAGAGGACACATTATGGCCACATTAACAATTAAATATTAGCATTTTAGTTGTTTTTTATGTTCAACGTGAGGGCTGGTTGGTGTATCTTTGATCAGGCCAGGTGGGGGTTTCCAGAGTGTGCTGTCACATCACACACACACACACACACACACACACACACACACACACACACACACACACACACAAATTCGTTATCATAGTGTGTAAGATAAACTACTGTACAGAAGAAAAGGGTGCTTTGGTTATTGTGGGAGTTTGGTTGAAGAACAGTCAACACCTGTGCACCGTTTTATCTTACCTCCATCACCATACGTCTCCACGCCATACCCGTCCTGCAGGCCGTTACTCCAGGTACCCTCGTACCTGGCCGGCGTGTTTACGCTTTGCCTGACTCCGTAACGGCCCTTTAACCCATGAGTCCACTCTCCTCGGTAAATCCACCTCCCTTTGGTTTCAATCCCGAGCCCGTGTCTCTTCCCCTGCGCCCAGTAACCCTGATACGTGTTCCCACTGGGCCAGGTGTAGACGCCAACTACCTCGAAACCGTTCGACCAGGAGCCAGAGTACTCTCCCTGGCCCTTGGGTCCGGTGCACACACCGTGGCCGTGGGCTTTGCCATCCTCCCACCCTCCGCAGTAGGTCCCCCCATCATCAAAGTCGAATCGACCGCCCGTCATTCAGAACTTGAGGGTAAGTGTTACTCTGTAGCTTCCAGTGACGTTCCGATTTTGCGAATTGCTGTTAAAAGTGATGTAAGACTGACAGTGTAGTCCAGGTCAGAACAGGAGTTCTAGGCGGAGATATGAAGGAGCGGCGTGTACCGGCAGCGGTGTGCCGGGATTTGAAAGAGGGACGTGGAAGGATGGGAAGCAGTCGCCACTGCTGCCACAGCCGCTTCCATACCGCGTACTGGAAACTCCCCCACTCGTCTCTCACAAGTCATTTAGCTCAAAGCTGTCAGTGATCAAATAGTACTTTGCTTCCTGTTTGACTTTTCAAAATAATACCACAACCTGTTGCGTGGGTCGAATCTGATTACACGAGGTAAAATTAATTGGGACGCTTCAATATTCATAAACATTCAGGAATGCCTTCATAGTTTTCAAGTTGTACATCGTTACATTATTAATGTCTAGTTATATATAACTTTAGTAACATAACTTACGCTATAAACAATGTGAAACAAAAGGCAGCATATTCCCTAAATATCGTATTTTGTTTCTTCCCAAGTCAAAAACAGTATTCGTTTTCATTCCTCAGTTTTATTTTTGTGTCACTTAGTTCAGATAGCTTGTGATCTAGTAAAGGGCTAACACGAAAGGATGAAATCCTGGTAACAAAGGCTGCAGTAAAATTACAAATGAACACTGATCACACAGAACCTTAAGCATACACTTAATATAGATGATAATCTTGAGCTGATGCAGTGCTCTGCATTCTTCTGCTCAGAGGGAGCTGAGAAGCTACTCAAATGGATGGATAGATGCATGTGTTTGTGGACCTGGAGTTTCTCACGTGACTAAATAGAGTACTGTGACAAACTATTACATTCCATAACTCAGTGACTTCTAGAACCAGCAATAACTTGAAGTAATTGTTTGCTGTCTGACTTCATCTTTCACACTGTTGTTGAGGAACATAAGTATTTTTCAGTACATTGTAGTCTGGGGGGGCATTCGTTTATGCACAGCTTTTCAAGGTCCTGCAACAACACTTCAGTTAGGTTGAGGTATGGACTTTGACTGGGCCATTGTGACACCATGATTATTTTTCAGCTAATCTGGTTGAGATAAGCTGGTTTTCTTGGGATCATCGTCCCGTTGGCCCAGTCTTCAGCTGTCAGACAGGCCTCACATTCATGGATCCTTTTGTCCAAATAGAATTCATACTCAACTAAATAAGATGGTGCCCAAGCCCTGTGACAGTAAATCAAACCAAATGATCACCCCTCCACCACCATGCTTGAGAGGTGCTATGACGTGTTTAAGTTAATGTACTCCAAGTGTGGTGCTGTGCATTATGACCAAACTATGACCAGAAGTGGTTGCTGTTTCTCCACATGCAACTTTAGAGAAATGTAAGCTGTGCTGTCATGTTCTTTTTCAAAAGATGAGGCTTTCTTCTCACAACACTTCCAAGCAAGCCATACTTATTCAGTGTTTTTCTGATTGCACTGTCATAACTCTGCACATTTATCATGGTAACTAAAACCCGTAGAGTCTGAGATTTAGCTGCCCCCCCCCCCTCCCCCCTTTTTTAATGTATTTTTTCTAAGCATTGCTTGATCTGAACTTGGGGTAAACTTTCTAGGATGTCCACTCCTGGAGAAAATCTGGCATTGCATTCACAACACATACCTGAATGCACCAGACCAGCAAGAAAGTCTGCTTTTATAAAGGTGGTCACACTTGCAGAGGATACATGATTCAAGTCTATTTAATTATCATTCGGCACCTGGCTGCTACTTTTCCTTTTAATTCCTAAAGCACTGACTTTGGAATACATTTTTCACAGAACTTTGGTCCTAAACTACTTGAATGCTAACGTCATGTTCCTCCTTCTTCATTGAAAATGATTGATGTGTGTGACTGTATTACTAGTACAGTCACACACATCAATGTGACTGTGATGTCTTGATTTTTCAAGGCCAATTAACTCTTTGCTATCTCGTTTAAAACAAAACTGTTGCAAAAATAGAGTGTTGTCCCAGGTTATTTCAGAATAAAAGTCGGTAAACAATTTGCATTTATAAACTCAAACATGTGCGATAAAGCAGCAACACTATGCTTCATTTTACCTGTTGTGTATCCGAAGTCATCTCAATGAACTCCCATATTCATGCTCTGTCAAACAGCGCCATCTTCTGGAAATCATAGTTGTTACAGTTCAGCGACCACGAACAGAAAACACACACCCAGAAGCAAAGCAGCTCTTTCAGACTTTCTCTCTTTCATATATACATACAAAAATTAAGCATATCTGATTCAACTCAATTTTATTTTATTTATACAGCACCAAATCACAACAGCAGTCGCCTCAAGGTGCTTTATATTGTACAGATGACCCTGCAATAATACATACAGAAAAAAACCCAAGAATCATATGACCCCCTATGAGCAGCACTTTGGCGACAGTGGGAAGGAAAAACTCCCTTTTAACAGGAAGAAACCTCCGGCAGAACCAGGCTCGGGGAGGGGCGGGGCCATCTGCTGTGATTGGTTGGGGTGAGAGAAGGAAGACAGGATAAAAGACATGCTGTGGAAGAGAGACAGAGGTTAATAACAGATATGATTCAATACAGTGTGATGTTTAAACACAACACGTCTTGGGTATCCCGCAGCAGGCTACACCAGCGGTCCCAAACCTTTTTTGTGCCATGGACCAGTGTCGCAGATAAATACAACAAAATAAAACTAGTACCGGTACCCAAAAAAAGTATTTATTCATAACACATGGGAAAAGACTCAGGGAAACAGAGTTAACGATAAAAAAGGCAAAAACAATAATGATAAAAAAATGATTGAAAACCCTGAAAACCATAAATTTCACCCCTGAGCCTCAACACTTGCGGCCTCCTACCAAACGACTCACAGACTGGTACCAGTCTGTGGCCCGGGGATTGGGGACTGCTGTTCTACATCTGTTGCAGCATAACTAGGGGAGGATTCAGGGTCACCTGGTCCAGCCCTAACTATATGCTTTAGCAAAAAGGAAAGTTTGAAGCCTAATCTTGAAAGTAGAGATAGTGTCTGTCTCCTGAATCCAAACTGGAAGCTGGTTCCACAGAAGAGGGGCCTGAAAACTGAAGGCTCTGCCTCCCATTCTACTTTTAAATACTCTAGGAACAACAAGTAGGCCTGCAGAGCGAGAGCGAAGTGCTCTAGTAGGGTGATATGGTACTACAAGGTCATTAAGATAAGATGGGCCTGATTATTTAAGACTCTCTCTCACCTCCTGGCAATACAAAACGCAGCAGCCAGACTTCTAACTCGTTCTACCAAGCGTGTTCACATTACTCCCATCTTATATTCTTTACATTGGCTCTCAATAGAGTTTAGAATTCGCTTTAAAATTCATGTTTTAACATACAGAGCACCAAATGGCCCCAGATTATTTATCCCAGCTTCTTATAAAATACTCTGCTGCTCGCCGTCTCCGCTCACAGACTCCGAGTCTGTTGGTTGTTCCCCATACACGACTGAAGACAAAAGGGGCGGAGCCTTTCAGTCTGTTGCACCGAGGCTGTGGAATAGTTTACCACTACAATTACGTTTGCTTGACTCTGTGGATTCTTTTAAAAAGCAGTTAAAAACTTTTCTGTTCAAACAAGCCTTTTGTTGATCTATGTATTTTATATTCTTTGCATTATTTGCATTTGATCCTTTACATTGTGTATAATGTCTATTGATTGTATTGTTTATTTTAATATTTGTGTACAGTGCTTTGTGACTGCCTGTCTGTGAAAAGCGCTTAATAAATAAACTTTACTTACTTACTTACCTTGTATGTGAGGAGCAGGATTTTGAATTCTGGATTTAACAGGAAGTCAAAACAGGAGAAATCTGCTCTCTCTTTCTAGTCCCTGTCAGGACTCTTGCTGCAGCATTTTGGATTAGCTGAAGGCTTTTCAGGGAGTTTTTAGGACTTCCTGATAATAATGAAAGAAGTAATAATGAACTAGTTTCACTCTGATACAGCATGTTTCTAACTTTAGAGATGTTGCACAAATGGAAGAAAACAGTCTTACATATTTGTTTAATATGTGCGTTGAAGGACATGTCCTGGTCAAAAATGACTCCAAGGTTCCTCACAGTGTTACTGGAGGCCAAGGTAATGCCATCCAGAGGAAGAATCTGCTTAGATACCATATTTCTAAGTCAGAAAGACATCTACTGTGATGAACTCTGCCCCCCACTGCTGTGTAATCCATCCATCCGCTTCCGCTGATCCTTTTCAGGGCAAGGTACACCCTGGACAGGTCGCCTGTTGCAGGGCTAACACACAGGGACAGACAACTATTCGCACTCACATTCACTCCCGCATACAATTTAGATTTTTCAATTAACCCTATCCGCGAGTGCACGTCTTTGGGAGGAAGCTGGAGTACCCGGGTAGAACCCGGGCAAACATGGGAGAACATGCAAACTCAACACAGAAAGACCCCAGCCTGATGGTGGAATTGAATTCAGGACCTTCTTGCCGTGAGGCAATAGTGCTAACCACCGTGTCACCGTGCTGCCCGTTCCCTGCCCAGTGTAATCAATTACCCACTACAGTTCGCTTACCGTCCAAATCGTTCCACAGACGATGCCATCTCTCATCTCCTCCACACATCACTCACTCACTTGGACACTAGAAGGGGGAATTATGTTAAAATGCTCTTCATAGACTACAGCCCTGCATTTAACACCATAATTCCCTCCACACTCACCACCAAGCTGGAGCATCTGGGACTCAGCTCATCTATGTGTCAGTGGATCTCCAACTTCCTAACTGGCAGACCACAGGCAGTAAGGATGGGCGGACATGTCTCAGCCTCCACCACTCTCAGCACTGGAGCCCCCCAGGGATGTGTTCTGAGCCCCCTGCTGTACTCTTTGTACACATATGACTGTGTGGCCACTACCAGCTCCACCACCATCATCAAGTTTGCTGACGACACCGTCGTGGTGGGCCTGATCTCTGATAACAACGAGACGGCCTACCTGAAGGAGATTAGGAATCTGGAGAACTGGTGCCAGAGGAACAACCTCCTTCTAAACGTCAGTAAGACAAAGGAGCTGATAGTGGACTTCAGCACTAAGCAGGAGAGGAACTACCAGACCCCCGTCATCAACGAGTGCCCAGTGGAGAGAGTGGACAGCTTCAAATACCTCGGAGTTCACATCACGCAGGACCTGTCATGGTCCTGTC